TATAATATATACACACACCTCAAGGTGTATTGTCTATTACTGGATTTTGGAAGTGTGCTCCTTTGTGGTTTTAGAATGCAAGCCCCAGAATTTTCCAATAATTCTTCAAGCAGAAGTTTGGAATCTAGAGGTCTGCAGCTCACAAATACAAATCTGCAGACCTCTGGATTTTGCCCCATACCCTGAGAAGGGCTTTTGGCTTATTTGCCTCTGATGCTGCTGTGCTTCCTTCTGTTATTAACTTTTTCTTTCTCTCTTTTTTTAAAAGAACGCTGCTGTGATGCTTCCTGGAAGTTGTTGTTCTTCAGAAGGTGCCCTCTACAGAGTGTAGTGTACAGAAAGACTGTACAGGACAGCAGGGGTGATTGACTGACCATCAGGGGCCGGGACCTTCTGGGCATGGAGGACACTGGGAGTCACAGTCTTGCTTGCCTGTCAAGTTCTATGGGGAAGACCTCCTGAAGAGTTACAATTCCCAGGAAGCACCACAGAATCTTTTTCTTCTTCTTTTCTTTTAAATTCACAACAGGAGATAATGTGGCAACATCGGAGGTAAATAAATGGAAGGCCTTTCCCTTTAGAGATCTCCTGATTGATGCTTGTGGGCTGCATTCAGAATTCTGCGTAGAGAATTCTTTGAGAATTCTGGGACGACGTGAAAGAGCACATCTTTATTGGATTGTAAGAATCACTTCTTTTGTGACATGGATTTTAATAGGCTAAAGTCTATTTCTAACAAACGATTTTTAAACTAAGACAATAGAAACCTTCTACATGTTGTTTGAAAAAACTGTCCCAGAGCATTATTGTTATTCAAGATAAGATCAAATGATAGTTTGCATGTACGAGAGTTGAACTAGATGTGATGCCATTCATGCAATTAGCAATTGTGAAAATAGCATTTAATTGGTACATTTTAGATGTATGGAGCCTGTTTGAGTTTAGGATTTTGACAGGAGTACTTAGAGGGACTGGGAAGGGTTACAAAGAGGTGGACGAGTCTGTCAGTTTCTTTTTCACTCCTATCTGTTTTCTCTCTCTTTCCACTGAACTGGTGGAGAAGTGTTTACATTTTTTAAGTTCTTACTAAAAACAAACCGGAGATATAGAGGAGGTAAGAATTTCAGGACAACTGGAAAAAGGGACCAACTAGTGACATGAGACAGTCTTTCACATGTGATTATGTGGGAGCAGGCCAACAGATGTCTAGGCACCTGGGTGAGAAATGGGAGTGTATGAATCCGTCTTGCTCTTGTATAAGCCTTCTTGGTGTGCTAGGCTTGGCAAGAAAGGTGTTAAGTTCATGCCTAAGTCTGGCATGGCTCTTCTTTGCCTTGCCAAACCAGCTTGTCCCACACTCCAAGATGATCATCCCTCAGAGTCCAGAGGATGTGATCTTTACCATCCCTATATCTTTTTCTCCTTGTTCCTTTCTTTGTGTGGAGGATGTGCTGGGCTGGGCTGGGTTTAGGGAAATGTCTTTCCCATTGTCCTTGCCTGTTTTGGGTGTCTTTCTTTCCCCTAGACAGCACCTTAAAAAGCAGAGACATTACTTTGCCAACAAAGGTCTGCATAGTCAAAGTTATGGTTTTTCCAGTAGTGATGTATGGAAGTGAGAGCTGGACCATAAAGAAGGCTGACTGCCAAAGAATGGATGCTTTTGAATTGTGGTGCTGGAGGAGACTCTTGAAAGTCCCCTGGACTGCAAGGAGAACAAACCTATCCATTTTGAAGGAAATCAACCCTGAGTGCTCACTGGAAGGACAGATCCTGAACCTGAGGCTCCAATACTTTGGTTATCTCATGAGAAGAGAAGATTCCCTGGAAAAGACTCTGAATTTGGGAAAGTGTGAGGGCAAGATGAGAAGGGGATGACAGAGGACGAGATGGTTGGACAGTGGCACTGAAGCTACCAACATGAATTTGACCCAACTCTGGGAGGCAGTGGAAGACAGGAGGGCCTGGCGTGCTCTGGTCCATGGGATCACGAAGAGCCGGACACAACTTAATGACTAAATAACAACAACTTTCCCCTTATGTCTTGTAGCATCCTCTGGACTCCAATTGACTTAGTTCCAAACTTTGTCACCTCCAGCAATATGGAGCAAACATTTTACAGCTCCCTCAAACCTTTCAATACCAACTTGGATCTTAGAACCCTTTCAGCCTTACAAGTTTCCTTTTTTCAGGGTGATGTTTCCCCTAATATTTATGTAGCAAATATATTTCAATATCTGGTTATTTGCTTAATTTAGTTCTTGTTTTCATTTATGCAGCTCTACAGTCTTCTTTATTCCCTGATGTAATCATTGCATACAGTTTAATTCTTGCATGCCCAACACAACTCTGTTGTTGAATAGCTGTGTGAATGTGACTTAGTGGGCCCAATCTGCATTAAGGTGCTTTACTAAACTGACTCTGAGTTCTCTGACAGATGTGCAACATGCACTCTGAAAGCATATCACCTAACAATCTAGGTTAAATCACATCCAGCCCACTAACATTCTCAATGCACATGTTTTTTTTTAATTGCACTACATAGTCACATTCTATAATATTATTCTCCTACAGACTATAACCCAACATGGCTGTATTTGTATATTTTTAATTGGCAGATTTACATTGTCGCTCTATTGGTGAGTCAGTCTTGATACAATTTTGGCAATGGGCTTGTTTGCAGTTCCTGCCTGAAGTAAAACTTGCTTTTCTTAGGCTATCCACTGGTGCACAAGAATATGCCATTGGTTGCTGGAGGAATTTGCTGGGCTCAAGAACTAAGAGACAGGATCCAGGTTCCGTTTAGTGACTTTAAACATATCAGCCACCTGTGAGTATCTGTAATCTGCATCTGCCATCACATAAAATTATTTTGTCATTACATTCTGTGACCTTATTGGTCTCCATGTATTCAGTACCACAAGGTCAACTTGAAAGGTATTTCTTTGGGCGACCTAGTGATATCATCTGACAGAGCTTAGAAAAAGTATTCTTTTTTGATACAGCCATCCAGATCTCCGTAGTACACCGGAGGTTTTACAGTGTTCATGTTGCATGCGAACAGCAAACTTTTAGAGTTTGTACATTCAGATAGGAGAACAGTCTTACTTTGCAAAGGTAGGGCTATGTTACCATCAACTGCATGTTGAGCATCTTGCGCTGCTGAAGGCTGCAAGTGGAAGAAGCATATAAAAATGACCAAAGGGAAACACACTATGTCTGTATACACAAAGTGTACAAAATACACTGTGAGTATTCTGTATGGAATACACTCATAAAATACATCAGACTGTGCCTACACTTTGGAGCTTTATTGCTTTGAATTGAGTTTCAGCTGGGTTCATTCAAAGCATTTAAATCATTGTTGCAGTCCAGACACATATGTTTAATTACTCTGGTTAGTATTGGGGCAAGAATATACACCACACCTCAGATCACTCACTGCAGTTATCACTGGGGCCACAAACGACCTTCCCTCCTCTGTTGTTGATATGCCCTCTTCCCTGTCTTTCCTTGCTCTTTCTTTCACCTTCTGCTGTCAGCCATTGAGGCTAGAAACACCTATGCTGCTGTGGGATAATTACTTCCAATTCTCCATGAGGCACTCATAGATTGTTTTCTGTTACTCAATGCACATGTACTGCCAAAATAGTGGTTCATCTTGGTTTGTGGATCATCAAGTGATCCGATGAACCACGAATCGGTTTGTTGGGTCTTTTTTTCACTGCCCCCCTGCCTCCACAGCCTGCCCTCACCCTCTTCTCACTGGCATGTCGCTTCCCTACCTTGTCCTGCTGCCTCCTCCTGGTCCACCCCCATTGTGTTGCTTCCCTACCTTGTTCTGCTGCCTCCTCCTGGTCCACCTATCTCTGTTGCCACCTCCACCAGAATGGAAACTAGGCTGTTTCCATTCTAGCAGCCTAGCTTCTGTTCCATTGCAAACAGGGTGGTGGTGGTGTTTCCCTTTGGTCAGGCTTCCCTATGCCCACACAGATCCCATGCGGGCATAGGCAGACAGTGGAAGCCTGACCAAAGGGAATACCCTCCCATTTGCAATGACAGTTGGGGGGGGGAGATATAAAAGGTATATATTTATCCCTTTGTATTCATGGGGGTCTCCAGAGCTCATGAATAGGAAGAAATGTATATTGACTCAACAATATTCAATGAATATCACAATTCATTTTTATATTCGTCCCCATGTATACATCTAGTTTTATTCTCTGAGATTAAAAAAATTGAGCAAGTGCTCTAGCAACCTGTCAGCCTCTCACAACCACAGAAAGTTTTCTCAGACTTTTGTTCCTCACCAGTCAGTAATGGAAACCTAACCATTATTTCCCTTTTAAAAAAATATAATGCAGTTACATTAAGTAATCAAATACTGTATTTTTTTCGTGTATAAGACACCCCATGTATAAGACACCCCCCACTTTTCTAACCCAAAATTAAGAAATCTAAGTGGGGCTTAGCAAGTGGAGGGGAAAGCAGGGATCAAAGCCCTGCAGGATCACTTTGATCCTTGCTTTTCCCCTCCAGTTATTTTTGTTCTTTCCTCAGCTTACTTCCATGTATAAGATGACCCTCAATTTTTAGCTTAAAGAGTTTGGACAAAAGTATAGTCTTATACACAGAAAAATATGGTAATCAGAGGCAGAAACACAAGAAAGCTAAGAAAGCAGCAAAGTGATTGTGCAGCATAGTGTTAGTGTAATAAAGAAAAGTGTCGTAAATAATAATAACTATTAAGTATTTTTCTGAGATTGTGGGAAGGGAGGAGGAGTGTTCCCAGTACACTACATAACACACTGCACTGAAGACAACACCTTCAACACCACCTCAGGCCTGCCATTACTATTTTCCACAGGCACAAATGATTGCTCATGCCAGAAAGCAATGCAAAATGGAATTGCTGCAAAAATGAAACCAAACCCATAAAAAGCAGGTTCTGCTGATAGTGCAAGACAAGAACCAGAAAAAAAAGCTGGGCTTATTTGCAATTAGCTGTATGTTTTGTTGTCAACAGAAAATATGTTGAATTTAACTGTCCATAATCCACCACAATATGCATGGTATTTTGCACTGTAGTCAACCCCTAAGTTGAGTGGGAAGCATGGAAGGAGGAGAAATAAAGAAGGTTTCTTTAATTGTTTTGCAGGATAAAAAAATGGTATAAACTGAAATTAATGAGGTACAGCTGTAAAGTGTATATAGATTTCCATGTACTTCAACAATATAATTTAAAGCCATGTGTGATTAATTTCAATTTATGGGTTTTTCAGGTTGTGAGAAACATTACCTGATATCCTACCCCAGCTGGTGCATATCTGAGCTCAAATTAGATAATGAATATTTTAAATAGATGAGCTTCCTTGACAGGGGCAAGACTTGATAATCCATAGAGTCCCTTCCAGCTCTGTAATTCTAAGATGATGATGATAATAATATAAGTACATTAAGTTTATACTTTTAAAAAAAGATTTATACTGACTTCAGACATTAGAACAAAAGGGAGAGGCAATTAATGAACCCGAAGACTGCTGCTTTGGACCTCAGTATTTTACAGGAAGACGGAGAGATGTAGAAAAGTCAGGTCCAAGGCAAACATGACTAGATTCATTCCCCTTGTTGACAATTCAGGAAAGAAAATGTTTGTGAACATAAACAGTGTGAAAAACCTCATGTATAGTTTGGCTCTCAGACAGATACTTGTTTGACAGAACAGTTTATAGTTGTGCCTTTCAGTCTAGAGAAGCACAAGCGTATGCTGTGTACGGTTAAAAACAAGAGGGTATGTTTAAAATCTTGGCATAAGTATAATGTCTATCAGTAAATAATGTCATTTATTTTGTTGTGTCCTAGTGACAGTTGCCTGGATTCTCCTGAAGGCAAAATCATGGTGCAAAAATATGAAGATCTCATGCAGTTGATAGAAAAGTAAGTCTGGTTCCTTAGGACTGGGATCCCCAATGCAGCACTCTCACGTACTCATGTATTCATGGGACTGTGCTTAGGTTCCCCCCCAAAAAAAACCTCTTTACTTTTCTCTTTGCATTCAAAGGGAAGCAATTGTCCTGGAGGAGAGCAGAAGTTCACCTCACATAACCCATTCTGTTGCCTCTTGGGCTCTTGGTGGGTGGTGGGCTTCTGCTCCTTGGCCAGCCATGTATATTTTTTTTGCATTTGGCAGCTTTCCTCTCCTATTTGAGTAACAGAGACATGTTACATCTTGGGAGTGGGGTGGGAATTTCATTCCTATAGATTTAAACATTGGAAGGGGAATTCCACTCCTGCCAAGGACTCTCTAAGCATCATATGTCCGTACCCTCAAATAAAGGGAGTGGTTCTTAATTCACAAGAATAACGAGAGTGTGAACCTACTTTTTAAAATGGCTGGTGGGGACTTTGACACTCTCACCTAGGACGTTGTCCATATGCTTTGTATCAGAACACCTCTCACAATTCAAGTGGATAAATTCTCCATTCATTTAAAAGCGGATTGAAAGGGAGTGGAGAGAGCCCTGCACTGCTGAAAAATGGCTGGGACATCATGGTCCATGGTGGTGGGGATGAATCTTCTTGTCCATCTTTTTCTGGCCATATAGCATCTGCTTGTCCAGCAGTTTCTCCGTGCAATACAGCTTTTCTGTGTTTTATGTATTCACGAAGGCTTTCATGGCCGGGATCTAATGGTTGTTGTGGGTTTTTCGGGCTCCTTGGCCGTGTTCTGAAGGTTGTTCTTCCTAACGTTTCACCAGTCTCTGTGGCTGGCATCTTCAGAGGACTGGGTTTTCCTTCTTTTGTCTCTCCGTCCCCTTCTTAGTGTTTCTTTGAAAAAGTTAAGAGTTTTTGACCATGAGTAGTCTGTTTCTGGAAAGCAGTTTCCATGATTTTGAACATGGACATCAAAAACTATATTTTTTGTATTAAGCTATTCCTAGAAAGAAGGCTGCAATGTGTTTGTTCTTTATGTACAGTATGTGTCTGTCTACAAATTAAACAGCTTTGCTGAAAGTGTTGGGATTTTTGGCCACCTGTTTTTGAGGGTTATCAGGCCTCTTTCTGTATCTTCTTCAAGCAGTGAAGTGCCCACCAGGGACTCACAGCTTGTCGGGAGCTGCTCATGGTTATTGGATAGCGTGAAGGAGAGTCTGACCTGAGTTCTGCCAGACAAATGGAAAGCGTTATTTGTGGGCAGCATCAGTTGCGGGCTACTCAGATATTTTCATGAAACTGCTCCCATGAAAAACTGACCAAATGGAGCAACACCAGTGTGGTTGAAGCTCCCAGATACAGAGACATAGCAAAACATTGCAGCAGTGAGACTCTGGCCTGAATAGTCCCTGGCAAAATTCACAGGCTGTGAATCAGGCACCTAGTTGTTCATTGTGAGGCCTAGTGCAGACCTCATCCCACGTTTATTACGTGACAGCAAAGTTGCTGAAAGTGGCTTGAGCAGCTCCCTTTGAATCTTCTGGGGTAACTGAGAGCTTGAGGGATTGCCTGTATTTTTAGGAAGAAGAAATACGTGCTTCTCTGTAGTTAAAAATGATGTTCCATTTGAATGGGGAAAGAACAACGAGAGTTCCATGCTACATTGTTTTGGGAGCCCACTGATTTCTTAAGATCTGCTTCAAACAAATTGAGGCATTTATTAGAAGAGGAGTGTTTTAGCCAGTTGTGTAATGGTTTGCAGAGTCTGACATGCTGGTTGTGTTTCCTGAAAGGTATCAAGAGAAGCTTTATAAGGAGTGGTTCCAAACAGTATCTGAAAAATCACAATATAATCTCGCTCAACCACTTATCCGGCGAGACTCAGAGAGCAAACTGATTGCAGTCAATTTTGACCCTCAGGTAAGTTGAAAGAATATCCCCCTTTCCAGGAGGTTTATTCCCTTTTATATCAGCGTAAGCCAATTGAAGATGCTTTCTTGCTAAGTCATGAGTTGCAACAATTGCCATCTATAATGTCAAGTTATAGGAAGAAGATGTCTTTGGAGGGCAGAGCTAAGATGCAGCCTTTTAAGTGATTAAAAACTCAGACATTCAATGCAACATGGAGAAACGTTAGGCTGTAAAAATGTTCAATAAGCATTGCTGGATCACACCAAGGGGCTCTGGTGTTGTGTTTCCATCAGTACACATCCCAATGTCTTGAGGAAGCCCACAAATAGATGTCGAAGCCCAACAACCTTTCCCTACAGTTTTTACCCACCACCTTGTGTTCAGAAGCTTGCTGTCTCTCAACATATGGAATCTCATAACGACTGTGTTTCTTTTATACCTCCATGATTCTCCATTAACTTACTTGTTCCCAACCACAACCTGATTTCATGCCTTAGTGACTCAGATTTACATATGAGTGATCAAAGCTGGCATAGTATGCAAAGGCCTGAAGCAGACATAGATGTCCTCCATGTTGGTAGGCTCTGAAACAGAAAGACAGACTGTGTTTAACATATTTAGTAATAGGGGGAGGAATGTCTTCTCTCTTTACCTCCATTCTCTGATTCTGAGGTCTGAGAAATTCTAGACAGGGAAACATGTTTTTTTAAAAAGGAGATTTCAAAGATTTATCTGAATGTGTTCTTTTGTAGCTGGCATCGGTTCTAAGAGAAGTGAGTTACCTTGAAGGAGATCAGATTGGAAATATCCCTGAGACAGCAGCAGAAATCTATTCTTCTAGAGAGTCCTTCCGGAAGCTGGTAGCCAACCTGGAGCTGATGGTCACTTGGTACAACAAGATCTTGCGCACAGTCTTGGAAGTGGAATATCCCCTTGTGCAGAGACAGCTGCAAGAGATTGATGCTCAGCTGAGAGAGGCAGAAGAAACATTAAACTGGAAATCAGAAGGTAAGTTCTGTCTCTGGAATAGGGCCTATGAAAAGAGGCAAAAAGCAGAGCCCACGAAGCAGACAAGGCTAGTTTCCGAGTTTGATATTTTCAGCTTTGGCCACTTTTCTTCCCTTCAAGGAGCTCTGTGCTCTTCTTCTTACCTGTCTTTCCTTTTTAGGGTGAATAAGGGGCTTTCCAAATAATAATTTAAAAAACCTTTTTCCTGCTGTTCACCCCTAGTCATTTTATTTGCAACAAAATCAGCCAATGGTTATGGGGTTACCTTTGTCCTAACACAATGGAGAGAAACAGTGTACTATATTGTTATGGGATGGAGGGGAGGACTTGCCTTGCTTTATCATAGTTCAAATACTGCAGGCAACACACACTAGGTACCTTTGCAAAACCACAGTGCACTCATGCAACACCTGTGCAAGGATTAGGAGGAGTAGTTCACACCTAGTTTCCCCGCAGTGGATATGCTCATAGTTGGAGTGCCATCTGGACTGTTTTTATCCATTTAAATTTTTTTACCGTGCCTTTCTCCTTGAAAAGTGCGAAGGAGGCTCATATCAATACTGTATAGAAAAATGAAAAAACAGTAAGTGTACAAATATTTAAAAAGAATTAAATAAGTATCATATTAAAAATAAAATCAATACTAAAACATGTTTAAAAAGCAGCAGAGCACAAAACCCCTCTCAGACTGCCAGTCACTAAGGAAAAGCCTGTTTGAAGCCTGCCTGTGGATGGAGAGCAAAGATGAGGCCAGCCTGGCCTCATGTGGGAGTGAGTTCCACCTGATGATCTTAATACCCAGGCAGGCTCATAGAGGGAGAAGCAATCTTTTTAGATAGCTTGGACCCAAGACATTTGGGGCTTTATTGGTTAAAACCAACCCTTTGAATTGTGTCCAGAAATGGATTGGAAGCCAGTGGAGCTGCTGTAACAGGGGAGTGATAAGTTCCCTTCAAACAGATCCAATTAACAATCTGGCTGCGGCATGTTGGACCCTCTGAAATTTCCTGACACTTTCCAGAGGCAGCCTCACATAGAGTAATCCAGATGAGATGTAATTAGGGTATGTGTCACCATGGCCAAATCAGAGCTCTCAAGAAAGAGGCACAGCTAGGGCACTAGTTTTAACTATGCATAGGTACTCCTGGCCACAGCTGAAACCTGGGCTTAGAGATGAATCCAGGGGCACCACCAAGCTGCACACCTCTGTTTCCAGAGGCAGTGTAACCCCATCCAGCACTGGCTGCAACCCTATTCCTTGATCTGCCTTTCAGTTGACCAGGAGCACCTCTGCCTTGTCTGGATTAAGTTTCAGTTTATTTGCCATCATCCAATTCATTACTGACACCAGGCACTGATCTAGAGCTGAAACAGCTTCCTCAGATTTAAATGGAAAGAAAAGATAGTTTTGGGTGTCGTCTGCATATTGGTGACATCAGTGGATTGTACAGTATATCACAGAAGTGAGTACACCCCCTCGCGTTTCGAAAATATTTTAGTATATCTTTTCATGTGACAACACTGAAGAAATGACACTTGGCTACAATGTAAAGCAGTGAGTATACAGGTTGTATAACAGTGTAAATGTGCTGTCCCTTCAAAATAACACAATACACAGCCATTGATGTCTGAGCCACTGACAACAAAAGTGAGTACGCCCCTACAATGCACAAATTGGGCACAAAGTGTCAATATTTTGTGTGGCTACCCTTATTTTCCAGCACTGCCTTAACCCTCTTGGGCATAGAGTTCACCAGAGCTTCTCAGGTTGCCACTGGAGTCCTCTTCCACTCCTCCATGACAATATCACAGAGCTAGTGGATGTTAGAGACCATGCACACCTCCACTTTCCGTTTCAGGATGCCCACAGATGCTCAATAGGGTTTAGGTCTGGAGACATGCTTGGCCAGTCCATCACCTTTACCCTCAGCTTTGTTAGCAAGACAGTGGTCGTTTTGGAGGTGTATTTGCGGTTGTTGTGTTGTAATACTGCCCTTTGGCCCAGTCTCCAAAGGGAGGGGATCATGCTCTGCATCAGCATGTCACAGTACACATTGGCATTCATGGTTCCCTCAATGAACTGTAGCTCCCCAGGGTTGGCAGCACTCATGCAGCCCCAGAGCATGACACTCACACCACCATGCTTGACTGTAGGCATGACACACTTATCTTTGTACTCCTCACCTGGTTGCCACCACACATGCTTGATGCCATCTGAACCAAATGAGTTTATCTTGCTCTCATCAGACCACAGGACATATTTCAAGAAATCCATGTTCTTAGTCTGCTTGTCTGCAGCAAACCGTATGCAGGCTTTATTGTGCATCATCTTTAGAAGAGGCTTCCTTCTGGGACGACAGCCCTGGAGGCCAATTTGATGCAGTGTGAGGCGTCTGGTCTGAGCACTGACAGGCTGACTTCCCACCCCTTCAACCTCTTCAGCAATGCTGGCAGCATTCATACATCTATTTCCCAAAGCCAACTTCTGGATATGATGCTGAGCACGGGCATTCAACTTCTTTGGTTGATCATGGCGAGGCCTGTTCTGAGTGGAACCTGTCCTGTTAAACTGCTGTATGGTCTTGGCCACCGTGCTGCCCCTTAGTTTCAGGGTTTTGGCAATCTTATAGCCTAGGCCATCTTTCTGCAGAGCAACAATTCATTTTTTCAGATCTTAAGATAGTTCGTTACCATCAAGTGCCATGTGGAACTTCCAGTGACCAGTCTGAGAGAGTGAGAGTGAGAACACCTGCTCCCCCTTCACACCTGAGACTTGTGACACTAACAGGTCTCATGACACCAGGGAGGGAAAATGGCTAGTCGGGCCCAATTTGGACATTGTCACTTAGGGGTGTACTCACTTTTGTTGCCAGCGGTTTAGACATTAATGGCTGTGTGTTGCACCATTTCTTCAGTGTTGTCACATGAAAAGATATACTAAAACATTTATGAAATGTGAGGGGGTGTACTACTGTGATATACTGTATATAATAACTCAGGCATCAATGAACTTTTAACATTCTCTAGACTGGGTGTGACTTGTTAAATTCTTCTTGATTTATCCTCCATTTTTTCTGTTGTTGGAAGGTCTTTTGGATCGTGTTTCATCCATGGTTGACAGTGTTCGAGATCTTGAGCAAAATTTCCAGAAAGCCAAAAATAACATTGAGGAAATTCAGAATATCATGAAGTCTTGGGTTTCCCCGGTTTATGAAAGAAAAGATGGGAAAAAGGAATCTTTGCTGTACTTAGATGATCAACATGAGAGACTGAACAAACACTACCAACTCATTACAGATTCTGGGCAGAAGATTCATTTTTTAATCAAGGTAGTAAGTGTATGTTTTGACATAAATGAGTTATAATGAAGCAATTCTACCAGCAGTAACTTATGCTGTTGAAAAATGCTATCTGCAAGTATTTGTCCTCTCCCTCCCTGCAAAAACCTAGCCAAATTTGTGTAATGCCACTGCTTTTTCCTAGATTCATGGCAAAGTCAGGGTAATCTCACATGTAAACATTCACATGGGAAGTACACACCTGAAGTACCTTGGGTATGTTGCCACTTTAATGTACATTTACATCTGCATTTATGAACAAAGGATGGAGTAACAGTGAGTCAGAAATGAAAGAACAGTTTTCACCAGACATGCTTTCTTGCATCTGTTGCAGGAATGTGGCATGTGTATGAAACGTCACACTGATACATTAATATTATTGACATTAAACAGAAGAATACTGGTACTGTGCTTTGAAAGATAACTGTTCTTTCTTTGTGTAGTTAAAAGTTTGGATAAGATTCAACCACTTTAAAGAAAAATATGTTAATCTGTACATATTGCTTAGACTGTAGTGACAAATGCATTGTGGGAACCTATAAAGGGATAAAAGAGGGTTAGAATACCTGGGGGTTGTATGCAGTATACCAAAGAAGCTACACTACTCTCTTTGCTGTGAGGCAGCTCTGTTCTGAGTAGCTCGCATGCCTCCAAAGAACTTACAAGTGTGAGAAACAATTGGCGAGGTAAAAACTCCAGATGTCTCGTGGCAGAATCAAGCTGTGCTTAATGAATTATTTCTGGTAACCATACTAAAGCAATATGCAGCGTAGTCAGTTTGGTTTTGGCTCTTGACTGGACAGTAAGCTCTGGGAAGAGACCAGCCTTCTGGACAGCTCAATAGTACCTAACTAGTGAGGGATAACTGTATGTTACAGATAGGATGGAATTAGAAAGAGAGAGTCCTGAAGTGCTAAAAATGTGTAACTGTCACAGCTGGAGCTTTTCACATCCTCTGTTTGCAAATTGACTTCTTTCGTCTTTGTGATTGGTCACTGAGTTAAGCGCAGGTTTCATTTGCACATATGATGCTGTGTCATGAGTGTCTGCCTTCAGAACACTAACAGAATTCAGTTTCTAATGTAATATATTTGGCTTGGTCCTTTGCATGCTCAGACCCTCATTGCAACCAAGTTACATCTATAGTGGTGGTTCTCAATCTTGGGCTCCCAGACATCCTTGGACTGCAATTTCCAGAAGCCCTTTGCTGGCCCAGCTAGTGGTGAAGCCTCCTGGGAGCTGCAGTCCAAGAATATCTTAGGGATCTAGGGTTGGGAACCAGGGTTCTATAACATCCTGAAAAATGCAAAACAACTTTTATGGCTACTGTTTGCGAAGGTTAGCAGTAAGTTTATCCTCAGGACTTTTTCAGTTTCGCTCCTGATGTAAAGTATACCAGGTGATGCAGAAGCTTTGCTGGTGCAGTAATAGAAGGTGTTTTATCTGGAAAGTTCCCAACTTGAGAGGGATGGGAGAAAAAACAGAGATAGACTGTAGTTCTGCGGCAGAACATACAGTCATATGAAAAAGAAAGCACACCCTCTTTGAATTCTATGGACTGTAGGTCCACAGAAGGTCCCAAGATTTTTTTAAAAATTTGTGAAGTGATGGCTGTGGCCTAGTTCATATCTCTTTAAATGCCTCCTGCAGAGCTGTCTGTTGTGATGACCATATTGGCTGGTATAACCACCAGAGCTTTTGTGTGGTGCTGAGATGTATTCCAACCAACTGTTTTTTTTGTCTGTGACTTCTTCATGCTTAGGAAAACTTGAGACTTTTTGCAGCAGATCCAGCTTCTGATGCTTGGAGAGCCTATCTGGAGCATGTGGATGAGATTGTCCTGGATGGATTCTTTAATGCCATTGAATGTTCACTGAAGTACCTGCTGGAAAATACAGGTAAAGGAACTTGCTCTTCTTCAATCAAGTTACTTTTTCATTTATTTTGATGGGTTTCCTGTTGCTGTCATTATGTGTTGTGGGGACAGTAAAATGGCCAGGGTTGATAGGCCATTAAACAATGTATATACAATGGATGTATATTGGGTCACTCAACAAAGTTAAGGATCACTCTTGCCCATGGAAACACTTTACTGTTCCCTACAACTCAATGTACTTTTGCTACAGGCAAAAACAAGACGTTTAAGTGAAAAAAAGTTTCAAAAAGGTAATCTTTGAAATTATGCTGATGTCTGTATTGACTGGTGTTTTCCATTGGGTTGTCTAATAGCCACTGTCTAAAACCCAGTCACTTCTCTTCTTGTGTTTCAGATTCCAGACTAGGCCTTGCTCCCCTCTTCAAATTGCAGCTTGATCTGTTGGTTCCTAAGATGATATTCCATCCTTCTTTGGATACTGGTGCCAGTGATGGTTTCTATGATATAGTTGAAGCGATTATCAATGATATATTCAGAGTCTCTTCCCTGGTGCCCAGACTTGCAGGACACAGCACTGTTCCTCATTATCAGGTCTTGCCTTTTGTCAACCATTCCCCTATGCTGACTCTGAGCACTTTCCTATTTCAGCCCTGCTAATTAGCAAAACATTTCATTTTTCTCCTCTCTTCAGGATGACATGGAGGAAATGGCCGAGCTTGCTGATATGCGCCATACCTTGTTGGAACGGGTTCAGAAGATGATATCAGCCTGTTCTAACTATCAGAGCTCCTTTGACCATTACTCCTATCTCTATGTGGATGACAGGAAGGAATTCATGCATCAGTTCCTTTTGTATGGTCATGTCCTCACAGCAGATGAAATAGAGGCCCATGTTGAGGATGGTGTCCCAGAGACCCCTCCTACACTTCAACAATTCAGAGAACAAATAGACTCTTATGAGAAGATCTACGAGGAAGTGAGTCACCTGGAGCCAGTCAATGTGTTTGACAGCTGGATGAAAATTGATGCCCGCCCTTTCAAAGCATCTCTTCTGAGTATAATTAAGAGGTGGAGCTTGATGTTCAAACAACACCTCATTGATCATGTGACTCACAGGTACCACTGTATCTCTGCTGCATTACTTATATACTCCCAAAGGTTTTACGTGGCTAGACGTCTGGATGTGACGTGAGTCATAGGCAGTTGCAGTTAGTGCCCACCAGGATTAGGAGGAGAAGGATGGCCAACGGAAGGGAGACCAAGGAACATCTAAACAAACTGAAAATATTTATTTATCTTGGTTCGGTTGACTTCCCCGCTATCAAATTTGATCCTGCACTAGGGGAAGAAATCTTGTCTCTCTGTTACCCTTCCTATTCAACACAGAGGTAGCTGTCCAAATTGACCAGTCCTCACTGATTCCAGGACACAGTTCAGGTAATTGTACCATGAATCCTGGACAGCTTTTCTTTTTCAATAAAGTCCTACTGCATGCGCTCTTTTCTATGCTTGGTTCAAAATTCCTTGAAGGTGTCACATTCTCTTCTGATCTAGCTTGTTAAGCAGGCTACTAATTAACTGGGCTTTAGCAGAATGCAGTTTTTGTTTGTGTGTCAATTTAATTATGAGGGGCTTCTTGGACACCATGCCTTTTGTCAAAGATGTTTGGAAATTAATAACAGTGATTTGTTCCAGAGACTGCACTTGGAATACTTCATTCCTTTTTCTAAACAGCATCGTACAGTAAAAGGGTTAGACAGGTTTCCATGAGGTTTGTGAAAATGATAGTGGTTCAAGAAATGGACGACCTAACAGAACAGGCCAAAGAAATTGGATACTTTTATCTCTGAGGAAAGGTCGTTTAAAAGCAAAGAGGATAGTTTTCACATAGTTAAAAAGTTCTCTAAGGGCTAAACTCTACGATAGGGAATCATCCTTGTTCATGCGTGATGCTGAGTTTGGGAATATGTTTCATATAAAAAGGAGCATGTGTGGGAGATGAGCACCCTCCCACCTTCCTTTCCCACCACGCTCTACTTTCCTCCAACTGAACTATGGAAAAGTATGCTGACTACCTAAAACACAGGAGCACTTTATTGATAGCTGAGAGTGGGCTTCACCGTTTTTTCCCTGGCTTTGTCTTTATTGTACTTTGGGCTAGATAGCTCAGTGAGTTAGATGCCTGGGTTGGGAGTTTGATTTCTTGCTGTGCTTATTGTTTATTTATTTAAAATATCTCTACCCCCCCCCTTTCTCGCAAAAGGGAGCCAAGGTGGCTCACATCATTAGAAAATATTCGAAAGCTAAAAACAGCAAGTAGACAATATGCTTTTAAAAGAAAAGCCGCCCTGTGTAGACTGGGGCAAGGACTCTGAAAGCCTTACATAGAAAGGAGTCAGCAGCAAAGGGCAGTATACAAGACAGGCAGGATTTGGCACTCTGCTTGGGGGTTCCAGCAAGGCTCATGCCTTCATCAAGTAACATCCTCGTTGTCTGGCAAGACATCCAGATTCCTTCACAAGCTGAAGGACGGAGCCACCTTCTTCCAGGAGTTTATCCTCTTTGGCCTTTTTTTGGGGGGGGGTTGTCCAGAGTCTGAGGATCCAGCAAGTCTTCTCCCTTCTCAGGTTTGGGGAATATCTGGGTCATTGTCACTGGAAGACTTATCCAGCTGGGCTGGAAAAAAAAGGAAAGGCAGAATTGGCTTTACTCTCCACCGGAATCTGTGCCCTGGAGAGCCAACAGAGGAAGCACCGAAACATGGAATGTTAAGCTCTCAGCCTCCCTCATGTCCAGCCTGTATGTTGGACACATATATTGGAAAATGCCAACAAATCTCTAGTGACACCATCTCAAAGAAAATTGAGAGTGTCGTCAAGACAGTGAGAAAGGATCTTGTCTGACTGTGCTGAAGAGAGTCACTTCATGGGGAATGATCTCTCTTAAAGCAGTCCTTCCACCCATCCAGGAATTGCTCCTGCCTGGCTGTCTTGCATGTTTTGTTTTCACATCCTTTCAGGCAGGGGGGTTATGCCCATAATTCTGAATGTAATATATAAATATTTCTGAATTTATCCAAAATGAAACTGAAAAAAAAAAGGCTATAAGGTATTTTCAACTGTTGCCCTTAAGGCTATGCTGCATTTTCTCTAATCATGTTGACGGTGATTAAATGATTAGTCACTGGCTTTAGTTTTGGTGCAATAATTAGTCCTGGCACTTCAAAGCACGGTTGTGAGTGTTGGCAAGAAAGAAAGCAGTTTCAAACTAGCAATGGAAGTATTTAATGACATTGTTGCGGATCCCATTTAGGTTCTGAATTGCGCATATGAACAGTTCTAAGAAATAAAAGATATAATTAAATACTCTCAAGAAATGTTAGGAAGCAATCCATAAAAGTTAAATGTCCATTTGCATAATTTTGAGCCATAGATAACATTTTGAAAAAGAGTGATCTTTTTCAGTTTTCTGAGAGCAGAAAGGGTATGTTTTGACAGATAAAAAATTTATATTGTTTCTTCAGTACTGAAAAGATAAAGGGTGCTGGCTCACTGCTGTGCTTCAGAAGGATGTTGAGAATATTTGATTAATTCATATTTTATTTCTTCAGAACATAAGAGGCTGCTGGATCAAACCATAGTCCATCTACTATGGTATCCAGTTTCCTGCAGGGGCTAACCAGATGTCTCTGGAAAGCCCCGAAGCAGGGCTATAAAGCAATGGCTCTCTCCTGCCAGGGCTTCCCAGCAGCTGACTTTCTGCAGCCAGCGCTTGAAAGTAAATAGTTTTGAGTAACATTGCTTATTACTAGTTACTTTTAGGGTAGTGAATAGTCTAACCAGTAGTTACCACATTGCACTAAAAGTAATGTAACAAGCAAGCACAAAATTACTTTTTAGTTTGCATGTGAACTGTATTTAATGCAGTGCCCAAGCCCTAAGTGAATCAGGGATATTTGTGTATCATAGGAGTCACCAGTGTTTGGAGGGAAGACCTGAGGGGTGTTGGCATTCCCTGGATGGAGTGGCACTTTTCATAGATCTCTCATACTAAACACAAAAGATTATCACAAATATCAAAATAAAAAAGACACAGCGCAATTGAAAGAAGGAAAGGTGTAAAGAGGAACTTAGGTGCTTTGTGGGGAAGATGCTAATACGGCGTCCAGTGAGACAGACGCATCAGTATTTTCATTCACCCAACGAAGCCTAAGACCTCTCCTGCAGATTCCAACCATGGAGGGACTTGGGAGAGTCTTTGCCTGAGGTTGTAGGATCATATATTCCTTTGCAGCTGCTTTCGGTGGCATTTTGCTTAACAGCACTTCAAAGCAAAGAACTTGCATTTCTGCAGCATGTTAGCTTTGCACCCTTGAATTGTTTTCTTTCTTTTAAAAGTTATTATTACTTATACAGTACTGCTAGACTGAGTGTGCTTGTGGATGTGGATGAATGTCTGCATTCCTTCATGGGTTTTGGGTTTTAAGTGCTTAGTGCTGATGTTGTGATGCCACTGCCAAAGTTCATAATAGCTGTCCACTGTTTCTTTTTTTTCTTGTGTGATGGTGGTGGGCAAATGATTCTGTCAAAAATAATTTTGATGGTGCTGTGTAACCACCACCTCCAAGTTATAGCCATTTGCGTTTCCCCATTTGCAGAAATGCCCTCCCCTCCTGAGAGCTATCAGTACACCAGTACTGACATGGACACAGATCAAGTAGGAGTGTCTTCAGTAAGTCACAAGGTGAAGTGTGTCCTGATATATAGAATATAATATATGCCCATGTTTGAACATGGGCTGAGCTAAGGGTCAGTATACACAGCTACTAATTAGGTATAACAAGTAATGTTTTCTAGTTTCTTTGATGTTGCTTCTGAAAAAACCCATTAAGCCATTTTAAAGGATTTTTTTGCATAAAAATTGGAAGTGACAAGGAAAGTGTATTTAATTATGTTTTCTGTATTTTTAGAAATATTTCCAAGGTTCAGTAACAAAATTGGCCACTAGGGAGAGCTTAAGACTATTTCCTATATTTATCTGGCCCATTAGTAATGGCCTTGCAACATAATAATGTGGCATGCAATGAATCACAGCAATGATAATGGCAACCGGGTTGCTATGAAGTAATGAATAATGCAAAGATTTCTCTTTCACATGTACTGTTCTAAACTCGGTCGATGGCATTCTGCCTCTAAATGTGGCACTTCCTTTTCAGTACCATGGCAAATAATAATATATTTGTTGTATTCGCAAAGGCTTTCACGGCTGGGATCTAATGGTTGCTGTGGGTTTTTCAGGCTCTTTCGCCATGTTCTGAACACATCCAAAGAGCCAGAAAACCCCCACAACAACCAATATATTTGTTCTCTGTAAGTTTGTTCCTTTCCTGTTTAGTAGCAACAAGAGAAAATGTCATACAAAGGCACAATTCTTAGTTAGATGATATATTATGTAGTCACTTAAGAAGATTATTTAGAGAAGTGAGTTCTGTTTCTAAGGACAGAAACAGATGTTTCAGTTTGGAAATTAGTTTGTTTTGTGGTGAGTCTTCAGGACTTCAGCACAAGATTCTTTTCAACACTTATTTCTCAAATACAAAAGACTTCCTCAGTCAGGTCTTGTCTGAAAACACTTAATGTGCTTTCATCTATAATTGTAAAAGAAGGCATACCAAAGATATTTTGTTTTGGGTCTATCTGGCTGTTTTTATTTTTCAATTTAGAACTCAGAATCCAGTTCCAAAACTGATTCTCATAATCTTTGTGTCTCTCTGTGTAAATCAGGGAAGTTGGCAAGTCTTTGGGTTCAAGCCCCAAGTCCAAGCTTTTTCCCCAGAAAAAAAGAGGGAGTGGTTGTGTTCTAAGTTGAATCTGAGTCATTGGGGGGGGGAAACCTGGAGTGGAGTTGCCAGTGCGACTTGAGTCTGACTTGAGAGTGAGTCCCATGATTCCAGTCCCCGCTTTTGGTATATGAAGAGGTGGTGGACTGGAGAGGATTAGAAATTACAGTATGTTCTTACTTTGTTTATTTTGTGTGTTTGCCTATGCGGCTTGATAGAATAGGTTAATAACTATCATTCTCAAAATCTTCTTCCTGAGTTTCTTTTTTTTCCCCTTCCTCTCTTTCTAGTTTGGCTGACCTGGAAGAATTCATAAAAATCACGGAAAGAGGTTTGAGCAAGAAAGTGGAAACAGGAGATTATGAAGGCTTGGTGGATGTCATGGGTCACCTGATGGCTGTTAAAGATAGACAGACCAGCACGAATGAGATGTTTGAGCCCTTGAAACAAACGATTGAACTGCTGAAGGTCTATGAGCAAGAATTGCCAGCAGAAGTCCATAGCCAGCTGGAGGTGTGTAGAAACATATCACCAGTATGAACAGATTAAAGAAATTACATAGCAGTCATCTACAAATACAGCTATGCCCAGAACACTTCCATATTTTTTATATAGCACAGAAAGGCCATAGCTTTGATAAGTGGCAGATGCAAGAGATTAGTGGAGGCACTACTCTAATTCTGTTTTTCAATGTTTAACTGAGATATACTGTATTTTTCTGTAAATGGATCTAGCAGTTTAAGGGATTACAGTAGGCCCCCTTATCCATGGGATCAGTATCTGCTGATTCACTTATACATGGTCTGAAAATATTAAAAATAATAAAAGAAGAATTCCCAATATATACATTTCTAATCTTGAAGTTTCCAGAACTGGCCACTAGAGAGAGCCAGAAACTGTGCTATCTATCGGGTTTTCTAAACAGAGAAATATATTCCTACGATGTCGTTAGCAGAAAAGGCCACTTGAGGAAGCCAGAGACCATGATATTTATAGCATTAGCTATTATAATAGCATTTGCTCTAATGCACACTTTTCAGCGGCCACTGGGGGGAGTTGGAACTGATCCCGTGCGGATATGGGAGTCCTACTATATTTAACCCTGAATCATAGGTGAAACTAAAGGAGGTGTGGAACTGATTAATGCTTGGGTGGCAAGTCTGTTGGGAGGTCTATGTAAACCTAAAAGAGAATGGGATGGAGCAAGGCTGAGGAAACGGTGGCCTCTTGCTCTAGCCAACCTGGCTGAAGGAGAGGTGGGAATTCATCAATGTCTAAAGATCTACAGGTTCTCTTTTTAGGACAGATGGATGAGACTGGGTATAAATTACGCTTCCATACCTCAAAGGGATCACAGCAGTGAATAGAGAGGCTTTCAGATACAGAGAGTTCCTCAAAAGAATTTGCACAGCTCTCCCATCTTTGTCCCCTCTATTGCTTTTGTTTAGTATGAGAAAAGACAGAAGCAGCAGTGGGAAAACAACAGTAGGAACACAAATGAAAGTACAAAATGTCTTCCAGCCCCATCTCTGCAAAATTCCTTGCATGTCAGAGGGCAATTGCAGAACTACCATTTTTCCATGTATAAGACTATAATTTTGTCTAAAATTTTTAGACTAAAAATTGAGGGTTGTCTTATACACAGAAGTAAGCTGAGGAGAAAAAAAACAAGTGGAGGGGAAAGCAGGGATCAAAGTGATCCTGCAGGGCTTTGATCCCTGCTTTCCCCTCCACTTGCTAAGCCTTAGCAAAAGGAAAGCAGGGATCAAAGTGCTGCAGGATCGCTTTGATCCCTGCTTTCCCTTCTGCTTGCTAAGTCCCATGGGGCTTAGCAAAAGGAGGAGGGAAGAATCAAAGCAATCCCATGGCTGTATAAAGGGGAAAGGGATTAAAATGATTGTGCAGTCATGGAATTGCTTTGATCCCTTTCCCCCTCCTTTTGCTAAGCCCACGTGAGGCTTAAAAAGCAGGGATCAAAACCGTCCTGCAGCACTTTGATACTTTTTACCCTGCATTTGCTAAGCTCCACTTAGATTTCTTAATTTTGGGTTAGAAAAGTGGGGGGCGTCTTACACATGGGGGCATCTTATACACGGAAAAATATGGCAATGTCCTGTCTAATGCCCAAAATTGGGTAACCATCTCTCAGATATGCTTTGTTTTGGATTCTTGCATTGACCAGGGGGTTGGACTTGATGACCTTGTAGGTCCCTTCCAGCATAATCATTATATGATTCTATAATCTAGAAGTGTCCCAACTCCTCTAAAATCTGGGGAAATATTCTGCAGTAAACAGTTTTGAGATTTGCTCCAAAAAGCTGGAATCCAAAAGTAGACTTACCTCTAATTAAGTGCTATTGAAATCAGTGGGATTGCTTCTCAGAAACAGCTGGGAATTTGTGGCAAGTCAGCTTTTCAATTTATACTTAATGGTGATTTAATTTTGTTGCATTTCAGGATTGACTGCTCCTGTTTAAGCTTGTTTTTAAAGTTGCTTTTTATGATTGTGTATGTGCTGCTTGGATTTTAGACCAGGCTCAATATTTTATTGTATTTAATTAAATAATGTGCCAATTCTCTATTCTAGAATATAAAATGTTTACATTTAAGCTGTGGTTGGTTGAAAACCTGGCCTTTCCTCTTCTTGTACGCCACACAGAGATAGGTTTGAGACATGTTGGGTCGCGTGGGGACTCTTCGCCATCGTCTCTGCTTTTTTGTTTCTTGTTTTGCTTCCAGGAGCTGCCAGAAAAATGGAACAATGTGAAGAAGTTAGCAATAACTGTGAAGCAGCATGTGGCGCCATTGCAGGCAAACGAAGTGGCAATGCTTCGCAAAAAGTGTGCTGCGTTTGATGTGGAGCAGCACAAATTTAGAGAAAGGTTTCGCAAAGAGGCACCATTCAGGTTGGGGAAGTTGTTTTTCCAGAGAAGAAAGAAAGCTTGCATGTTCACTTTGTAGAAGCATTTCCTTCCCTTTTCGCCTTGGCTGGTGAGGCGAGATAGAGCCAGCATAATAAGAAAGGCCACCCAGTCAGACATGTCTGTTCCCTGTACTGTAGACTCCAGTACCTATTGTAATAACCTTTGGTGCCCTCCTAGGGACAGTTACATTTTTGTGCTACAAATCACAGAATCAGACACACACCCCCTCGCATGGTTACCGATCATGTTAGTTCAGGGAGTCTGGGAGTTGTAATCACTGCTCCCCCCCAAAATTCTTAAGTTTTAGAAACAATCCTCCTTCTGAGGCATCTTTCCAGATGACTCACCGAAGAGTGAATATCGGCTTATATGTGTGTTTTGACCTCATAGGCATAATTGGCTTTCTCGTTGTTACCCCAAGTCTGATATTCGGCAGGTTCTAGGAACTGCAACATTACCTTATACCAGGTCATATTTCTCGTCCATCTAGTTCATTGTTACCTCAACCAGAGTTGATCTACTAGTGTTCCTTCAAATGTTGCTGAGCTACAACGTCCACTCCCATCCTTCATTCGCTGTACTGGCTAAGACTGATACTAACTTCCTTCAGCACACATTGTTTGTTGCTGGTCTCAGCAGACTGGCAGCAGCAGCAACTCTCACAAACCTCTCATTTCCAGTTCTATTTGAGAATTCCAGGGACTGAAGGTGTGTTTTTCTCCACACAATACATGTGTGCACCTGAGCTTTTGTTGTTCCTTGAGTCATGATTTTCAAAGTTGAAAACCATGATTTGGTTTAGATTATACCTGACTAGCCCAGTGGTTTTTCCTACTTTTTTCAGTTTAAGCTTGTGTTTTGCTATAAGAAGCTGATGATCAGAGCCACAATCAGCTCCAGGTCTTGTTTTTGCTGACTGTATAGAGCTTCTCCATCTTTGGCTGCAGAGAATATAATCAATCTGATTTCAGTATTGCCCATCTGATGATGCCCATGTATAGAGTCGCCTCTTGGGTTGTTGGAAAAGAGCATCTGTGATGACCAGCTTGTTCTCTATTTGCCCTGCTTTGTTTTGAACTCCAAGGCCAAACTTACCTGTTGTTCCTTTTATCTCTTGACTCTCTACTTTAGCATTCCAGTTCTCTATAATGAGAAGAACATCTTTCTTTGGTGTCAGTTCTAAAAGGTGTTGTAAGTCTTCATAGAATTGGTCAATTTCAGCCTCTTCAGCATTGGTGGTTGGTGAATAAACTTGGATTATTGTGATGTTGAAAGGTCTGCCTTGGATTCATATTGAAATCATTCTATCATTTTTGAGATTGTATCCCATTACGGCTTTTCCCACTCTTTTGTTGACTATGAGGGCTACTCCATTTCTTCTAAGGGATTCTTGCCCACAATAGTAGATATGATAATGATCTGAATTGAATTCGCCCTCTCCCATCCATTTTAGTTAACTGACGCCCAAGATGTCAATGTTTATTCTTGCCATCTCCTGTTTGATCACATCCAGCTTACTAGGGTTCATAGATCTTACATTCCAGGTTCCTATGCAGTATTTTTCTTTGCAGCATCAAACTTTCCTTTCACTTCCATGCACGTCCGCAGCTGAATGTCCTTTTGGCTTTGGCCCAAACACTTCATTAGCTCTGGAGCTACTTGTACTTGTCCTCCGCTCTTCCTCGGTAGCATGTTGGACGCCTTCTGACCTGAGGGGCTCATCTTCCAGCATCATATCTTTTAGCCTTTTCTTTCTGTCTATGGAGTTTTCTTGGCAAAGATACTGGAGTGGTTTGCCAGTTCCTGCTCCAGGTGGGTCACGTTGAGTCAGGACTCTCCACTATGTCCTGTCCGTCTTGGGGGTCCCTGCATGGCATAGCCCATAGCTTCTCTGAATTAATCAAGCCCCTTAGCCACGACAAGGCAGCAATCCATGAAGGGGAAATTTGCCATATAGTCCCAGTCTTATGTCTGAGGAAGTGGACTTGTCAACAAAAGCACACTTTAAAATATAGCAGTTAGTGTTTAAGGTATCTCAATGCTTACGTCTTCCTTCTTTTTTATTTTTCTTTGGCTTTGGCCAAAAATTGCTAACGTGGTGACATTGTATATCCCTTTCTTCAATCAGGTTTTTTCTTCTTCTTTTCTTTCAAATATTTTTTCTACATTGACCTGCACATCGGTCAGTTTCCTTAAGGTAGTTTAAATGCTGAAAAAAATCTATCTCTACAGTATGTCAGTTTCATTGAAAAAAACAGCAAAGCATCTTGGAGTGCCTCAAAGACTAAGCATCTTATTTGCTATAAGCTTTTGAAGACTATAGCTTACTCATCAGATGAACAGATCAGATCAGTCTGCAGTCCTTGAAACCACCGAAAGTTCTTTGTCCCTGATTATTGCTCAGTCTAAGGATTGAGAAATAATGTTCAAAGTTTATGGTTGAGATATTATTTTGACTTTGTGCACATGAGGAGGAGCAGGGGCCCTTCCAGACAAAGAGTTCACAACCTAAAAGTAATTCCACATTTTTTCCTTAACAGATTTTTCTGCTGAGGAAGAAGAGATTGAGAAAAATGAGAAAATGGGGCGGGGGGGGAGGGCTGGAGATGGATTTGTTGTCACCTGGATTTCTCATTAACTTCTCTGAAGGAGGTGATGTACTTGCACAATAAAAGCCTCATCTAGAAACTCCCTAGGAGTGGGATGGGCAGGTAAGTCAGGGCTGGAAATCTTGAGAAGGATTAACTTCAGAGATTATTACAGTATATTCTCCCCTTAAAATTTGTAGTTAGAGGCATCTCATTTTTTACTTCCATTTCATTGCATACCTTATTACTATTTGGGGGCCTAGTATCTTATAAGGAAGAAAATATTCTCATGATGAAAGCAAGTTTAAAACCTGCCTTTTAGGTTTGATGCAATAAATCCCTACGAAATGTTGGATGCATCCCACACTGAGCTTAAGCAAATGGAAGTCACCATGGCCTCGATTTATGAATCAGCCGAATTGTTTGAAATCAGTGTTCCAGACTACAAGCAGATCAAGCAGTGCAGAAAGGAAGTGTGCCTTCTTAAAGAACTCTGGGATATGGTCTCCATCGTGACCTCTAGCATGAATGACTGGGAGACTACAAAATGGAGAGATATTAATATTGAAAACATGGAACAGGAGTGCAAGAAGTTTGCTAAAGACATTCGGAACCTGGATAAAGAAATGAGGGCCTGGGATGCTTTCTGTGGGCTGGACAACAGAGTGAAAAACATCCTGACATCGCTGAGGGCCGTGTCAGAACTGCAGAATCCTGCCATCCGGGAGAGGCACTGGAACCAACTGATGCAAGCCACGGGTGTGCAGTTCATAATGGATGCAGACACCACCTTGGCTGACTTGCTCAAACTCAACTTGCATAACTTCGAAGATGAAGTTCGGAGCATAGTGGACAAAGCTGTTAAAGAAATGAGCATGGAAAAGGTTGTGAAAGAACTGAACACAACCTGGTCCAGCATGGAATTCCAATATGAACCTCACTCCCGCACGAATGTCTCACTCTTGAAATCTGATGAAGAACTCATTGAGGTCCTTGAAGACAACCAAGTCCAGCTGCAGAACATGATGACTTCCAAGTACATTGCTTTCTTCCTGGAGGAAGTGTCTTTCTGGCAGAGGAAGCTGTCTACGGCAGACTCTGTTATTTCCATCTGGTTTGAGGTTCAGCGGACATGGTCTCATTTGGAAAGTATATTCATTGGATCAGAAGATATCCGGGCACAGCTTCCTGAGGTAAAAACCCTGTTTCCTTTTGGCGGGAAACACTGAGGTGATTCCCCTTCTTTCAGAGGGCAGTTACATAAAGTTGGGTGCTATTCTTTGAGTCCTGCTTCTTCAATTCTGTAATTATTGAAGAAGCCTCATGGCACTGACACCCAAAGCAATCCCCAAAAAACCAGAGTTACAGAATTGCTTTTTCTAGAACAACCTTCCATCATGTTTCTCCAATACTGTTGAATTAGAGTGTGTCTTCCATAATCCTGAGCCAACATGGCTTGCTCTTATTGTTTAATTAAGGGAGATCTATACTATAGACTTAAACTGGTTTACGAGGGAATTCTGGCATTCGTAGATCTGTATGGCAGACATCTCAGCATCCCACTAGCCTTTAATTTCCAGGAATTCAATTCTCTGGGAAGAAACCTTGACACTTAAAAGAGACTCTTGAACCAGTATATAGTGTCAATAGTTGTATTGTAGCACTCCTACAAAGGGGAATATGATAACTGTAACCAACCAGCAGGACTTCTGTCTTATCATCTTATAGGATTCTAAACGCTTTGAAGGAATTGATGCTGACTTTAAAGAGCTGACTTATGCTGCTGAAAAAACACCAAATGTGGTAGAAGCAACCAACAAACCTGGTCTTTACGAACAACTAGAAGATATCCAAAACAGGTACATAAGAAACAGTCAGGGTAAATTTGTTAGGCTGCTTTTATTTACAGGGTTTGGTCTTACATTCTTTCTAGCTCTCTCTCTACCTGAAGTTAAGTCTGGTTTTAAATAATTATACATATGCCGCATCTCTTTAAGGAACATTTAAAAACATTCCCTATTTCATACATTATGGGCTAAATACAATTGTTAGTTCCGATTAGAATAGATTCAACTGAATCGAATTGAACTTGCATAAGTGTTTAACAATTTCCATTCATTCAGAGGATCTACTCTAGATTTAATTCTATTTAACTTTTACGTTCTTGCATACCGAAAGCCTTTTTGTGTACTTTAAAAAATGCAGTTTTTGTGCCACAAATGTATATTGCATATGTGCTCTACATACATATATCATACTGTACATATATGTCCTTGGATCCAACAATTGGCTTTTTAACAAACTCCCAAAATAATTACCTCATAAAAGAAGAATTTGGAAAGGATGCACTTGGGGAAAATACATGTTTTGTTTTCTTCATTTTAAACATATCTTTATTCTGTGCTTCATTTTTTCTAGACTGTCTTTGTGTGAAAAAGCTTTGGCTGAGTATTTAGACACAAAGCGGTTGGCCTTTCCCAGGTTTTACTTTATTTCCTCTGCTGACTTACTGGATATTCTTTCCAATGGCACAAATCCACAGCTGGTAAGAGACCTCCATTTATTTCTGGGCTACCGACCGACATGCCTTCTGGTGGAATGTGTTTGATTCAGCTCTGAGACAGTTGCTGTGGAAAGAAGGCACTCGGCTTGCCATGCTATGACACTGACCATAAATCTTTCCTTTCAGGAAACATTATGTACATCTCTGAAAAAGCACTAGATGGCAGCCTGTGCTCCCGTTTCCATAGAATGTCATTAAGTCTAGTCAGCACATAGTTTTCACAAAATGGAAAAACAAAGGGCTTAGTTGGTATAAGGGTGGCTTACAGATAAGCATTTTTTTCTTTGTAGGGTCTTAAGATTCAGCAGCATGAAAACCACACAGGGGCTGGCATATTGGCATATAAAGAGGCAAGATGCAGAAGGGGCAAGGGCTTCTTCACCTTTAATAGTTGCGTAGACGAGGATATGACAAAATTATGCCTAGGAAATTCTCTCATTTGCCCAGGCCATTCCTGCTATGCTGATCCTGCCTCCTTATTGCTCTTAACCCAATGTACCAGATCTATGTAGCATAGTCTGAAATAGTGTGACTCTTTTCTAGCTCTCTTCTCCCTTTTTGATATCTCTCTGTTATGGCGCTTTCTTCCATGCCATTGGGGTTAGTGCTGAGGTTCAGAAAAGCTTTTGTGTAGATAGGGTCCACAGGATGACCCTTTTTCAGTTAAACTTGTTCGTCACCTCTTAAACTGAGAAGTCTTTTCAAGTCAGGAGAAATGTTGACCCTCCAAATATTCTGGACTATCGCTCCTATTATTCCTTACCATTAGCCATGCTGGTTAGGGCTGTTTGGAAATGTAAAATCCCAAACATCTGTAAGGTTCACAGGTTCCTTGCTCCTCTTTTAAAGGGAGGAATCCCATTTTTCCTCTTCTTATAATTCTTCTTCTATAACTACTGAATCCAAACGTTCCCTTCTTCAAACGTTTCTACAGTACTTCATCAAGTGCTTCTCTTAGTTTTCATTTTTGCAATAATAGGCAGATTATGCAAATATATTCCTATGCTGGCAGATGTAGTGGAAATCACAAATAGTAGGAGGTCTCATATTCCGATACGTGTTTCATGCTGGTGTCGATAGCTATCAGAAAAAAATTCTAACAGTAAGGTCAAATCTGCTTGCCTTAGGGTGAGCAATGTCTTTCACTGTCTTTTGGAATTCAGGTTGGACAAATCTTCAGGTGGGAGGAATCAAAAGTCAACTTTCTCCCAGCAGGACAAATATTGCTTCTGCTATGTTCATATAGGTTAGAGTCCCAAGGATGTTTCTTGTTTGTTCACAAGATGATCTGAACTGAGTTACTTCTGGTAAGAATTGGAATAGGAGAGCCAGTGGTCCTTCCGATACTGTTAAGTTCCCAACTCCCATCAGCCTTGGCCAGCATACTATTGGTAGAGATGATGGGAGTCGGAATCCAACCACATCCGGAGGGCCATAGGATTCAAATCCCTGAGTATAATGTCAAGTTCAATGTGTCATCTGCTATAATCTATTTAAATATAATTTATTTATTTATTTATGTTGAGAAGCTTGTCAATGTGTCTTTGAAAAAAATTGTATTGTGATGGGTGGAAGAGCAGAGTTAGATGCAGCTATTTCTATTTTACATTTACCCACTCAAATCACAGAGGCGTACATATTTAAAATAATCTGTGCAGAGATATTTACCTGTTTAGTTTCTTGAATTCAGCCCAGCTTTATGTAATTAATTGGGTTTGCACACAGCAAGTAAACAAACAAATGAACGAACGAATGAATGAGCGAACGAACGAAAAGACACTGACTTCCTCTAGTGCAGGATGTTTGTCAGCTACTTACTGGGCTCCAGATGTCAGTTTTGATCAATGCTTCAAAACACAGTGGAAGACACGGCAACTCAAAAGAGAAATATTCCCTTTAAAGGCTCTGTGGTATAAGAATGCCTTCTTTGAGCTCTGCCTGTTATTCCTGTTTAAAGCGATTTGCTGCAAAATCAAAATAAATGTCAAGTAGAATCAAATATGGATGAACTTGTGGCCTTTCCATTGTTGTCTCTGAGCTCCATCTGCTGATTCCAGGAGGAGGATTAAATACACAACAATTTTATCTTAGTGGGCCCTGCATTGAACTTGCTGTGATTTAAGTGCAATTGAAAGCTTTAGGGGACCAGTTGGTGAAGAAAGAGAATGCTTTATATACAATTTATCAAATGGAGGGAAGGATGTTTTGTACATAAAGGAAGCTTTATTTTGGGATTGCGGAGGGCTGGTTCTGGAAGCTACTGAATGTCAGTTTTGGATACTGGGCTTTTGACAAAGGAGAAAGAGCATTAACTAAGAATAATAGGCATAAATATGAGTTGTTATCCTTTTTTTGTTTTGTTTTTTAAACTGAGAGTCCAACATTAACGCTTTTGTTTCAGAGAATATCAGAGGATGGGATCTCACAGCTGGCATCCCCCAAGTCCCTAGTAGTACCTCCTCTGCCACACAGCTGCATGGTGAAGTTGTGTATGACCCAACACCCTTGTGCTTCTGTCCAAATTCATTTTGTAGGTTCAACGCCACCTTTCCAAGCTGTTTGACAATATGGCCAAGATGAAATTCGGGGTGGACTCTGACCAAAAACCAACTAAGATGGCCTTAGGGATGTACAGCAAAGAGGAAGAATATGTTGATTTCAGTGAACCATGTGACTGCTGTGGGCAGGTGAGGGGATGTCAAGTAACCACTTACTGGACCGCTTCTATGCATGAGATAAGCTGGATATTGTGGCCTGGATGGTTAAAGAGATCATGAAATATATGCAAACTTTAAAATAAGTACAATAGAATTTTTTTTGGGGGGGGGATAGTGAACAGACTAAGATAAGAAACAACATCCTTTTTGAAGAACAAAGTGCACATTTATTTTTTCCAAATTATAATCTATTGATAGCTTTGATTTGGGCCCAGAATCTGGCAAATAAATGATTCATTGGTGCAGAGTACTATCTACAGTGACCCACTGCAATGGTTGGCCCAAGCTTTAGCACTACTTGTGGCTGGATACTGGGCCTCCAACAAGGTCCATCTGCCATCCCATCTCAAACTACCCCCCCCATCACTGAGGAGATGCAGGCGCTCCAACTGGGAAAGCAATGACACCAGAAAGAAATGTTTGCAGCTTAGAGACCTGCTCTGTCCATTTTTCAATTTTTCTTGAATGCTTGGCTCCATGGTAGAAGAGACGGAAGTCACAAGATGAGAGGAAAACTATGTCCCCCCCCTCTTTTTTTCTGCTGAACATATATTTGACCTGCATTCAGCTGGTCTAAGTCAGTGGTTCCATCTGTTGTCGACCTGGAGCTGTTTTGTGCTGCAAACCCCATTTTGATGCCACTGCTGATTCCTTCTGTTCCTCTTAGTTCAAGAAGAAAACTGGTGCTACCATCTTTGTTTTCACTACCATTGTTAGCAGTAAAGCTGGCTGAAATTTATGTACGCACGCACGCACGCACGCACGCAGGCACTCACTCACTCACTCACTCACTCACTCACTCACTTACTTACTTACTTACTTACTTACTTACTTACTTACTTACTTACTGTCCCATTAGAACAATGCACTAAAGAGGCCATTCTGGTCATTGGAGCTGTTCTGTTGTGGTCTGCTAGGGCAGTGACAAGAGGCGGGGGAGAGGAGCCCCCTGCCCTTTTTAGCATCATGCTTTCTGAGGCAACTGTTTCAGTGCATCTAAAGGGATCTAAAGGTAGGGCTGGCTCTGTGCACCATTGGCATGTATGCTGATAACGTGCCAGCACCAGAGGCTTGCACATCCTTAAGGACTGTTTAGTGTTTAGTTTTTTTTTATTCTGCATAAGTCTGTCATTGATATAGTGATTCCCTTAGGAAAAAAAGATATAGTGATTGCTTAATGGTATCCATAGCTACGGTAACTCTTAACTATTCCCCACAGGTGATAATAGTAGGTGGATATTTGCTTGTGTCATTTTAACTGCAAGTGGGGTTGTCCAAGCTGGAGCAAAGCCTGGCCTGTTGCCCAGTAATACAGGGCAGCAGACTCCCTCTGTGGTTTCAGAGAAGAACCATCCCTATGAGGGGAAGCACAGATGGTGAAATGGCGTTCTTCTGTTCTAGGTGGAGAACTGGCTGAACCGTGTGCTGGACCACATGCGGGCCACAGTGAGACACGAGATGACAGAAGCAGTGACGGCGTATGAGGAAAAGGCAAGAGAGCAGTGGCTTTTTGATTACCCTGCACAGGTACAGCCTCTTTGCCTCTTGTCTTGAATAAGTCTATGTGTGTTGGGAGCTTCTGAGGGAAATCATGCTTACTTTTTGGTCATGAAGGTCAGCCACCTCTGTTGCACTTACTTCAGGTAGTCTCCTGGGAGAATGGCCACCAGCAGGCAATTTCTGGAGAACACTGGGACAGGCTGATTATTAAAGGGTGATGTCATCTGTGCACTCTGCTGCCCCTGATGAAGGGGAAGGAGGCAGGAAGTGCCTCTTACGACATAGGCTCCACGGGCTTGTATACGTAGGGTCCAGTTAGGCTTTATTGGGATGTAGAAACTGGATACATCAGCGGTCTCGCATCCCAATCCCTGTGTGGGCTCAGAGCTATCCTTAGGCCCTGGCTGGTCCCACATCCCCTTGTTTGCCCTGTCTGTCAGTTCCCTCAGGGGATCAGTTCTGTGCACTGGCCCCTTGCCGTCCAGTACCTGTAGCTGGGTCTATGTGTGTAGCAGCACTAGTTCCAGCAATCCAGTGCCTTTCGGTGAAGCCTGGTGATGTCTGGCCAATGTGGGCCTTACTGGCAGAGTTGTGGCACTCACAGCTGGGCCAGTTGGATGAGGCACTTCTAGTGCTGGGTTGGCATCAGTCTCCCAGAGTGAGGTTCCCCCGGGTGGTTATATGACACTCCGCAAGGGCCCTTGTAGGGGAAGACGGGTGTTCTCCCACCACAGTCTTTCCTTGGTGTAAGGCTGACCTGTCTTGTAGGGGAAGACGGGTGTTCTCCCACCTTGGTGTAAGGCTGACCCGCTCTCCTTCTGACTTGTCCTGGAGGATCCATGGGCAGATCCCCCCCAAGGGTGCAGAAGACCAGGGGCTCCTCTCCCCATATCTCTTCCCATGGTTCTGATCATGATGAAGCACCTCCTCCTCTCTGAAACCTTCTTCCCAACACCCAGCTCTGCCTGTGTTCTCTCCCTGCTGCTACCCTGTTTCCCCGAAAATAAGACCTAGCATGAAAATAAACCCTAGTAGGATTTTTCAGGATGCTTATAATATAAGCCCTAACCCCAAAATAACCCCCACCCTCTACCATTGTGCAGCAACCAGAAGAAGATGACATGGCTGTATTTGAATAGACGTGGATTGTTGTAGTGACTGTATTTGAATAGATGTGGATTGTTGGAGATGAAAAAAAACATCCCCAGAAAATAAGCTCTACTGCGTTTTTTTGGAGCAAAAATTAATATAAGACCCTATGTTAGTTTTGGGGAAACACGGTAGTGTTTTTCCTCCTCTCATTCCCACCCATGTTTCCTTTCCTGCTGGCTGCCTTCTCAGGCTGGTCTAGCACTGCCTGGGGGCTCAAGATAGCCCTTCAAGGAGGGTTGGGAAGGAGGCAGTCAACTCACCAGGGATGGCAGACGCGTTCCCCTTACATCATCATATCTTCTGCACCTTTAGTTGTACATGTCAGTTGCTGTTGCCTGAAGCTGGTGTTGAATACACTGGTGTTTGGAGATGAAGAACAGCTCAATGGATGGTTGTGATGTAGAATCCTGTGGCCAGGATCGATTGCAGCACGAGAGCCATTGGATGTTGCTCCTGACAGATTTGTTTGATCCAGGGACTGCTGGATAGCTCAGTGGTTTAGATCTCTGGCTGTAGAACCAGACTTTGGGAGTTTAACTCCCCACTGGGCCTCCTTGACAGGAGCTGGCCTCTATGATCCATAGGGTCCCTTCCAGCTCTGCAGTTCTAAGATGATGATGATGAGCATCATCATCATCATCATAATCTCTCATACATGCTGAAGGCTTGTACTGGAGGTCTGAGAAATTTTCTGAAATAGGTTCTTGCTGGCAAGGAGGGATGGAGAGGAAGATAGAAGAAGGGCTCCGTTCTGCAGGTGCTGAAGTACCCTGCCGGATCTTGGCCTCTGAATAGAAGGGCAGATTAAGAGGCAGATCAAGTTGTAAGGAGGGATCACATTTGATTTAACTAGAAAGAGTAGCTTTGTGGGGGGTGTGTGTTACATAACAGCACTGATGTTACCTGTCTGTCATGGGTTTGGAGGGAAAGTTCCATCCTATGGGGAGTGGAAGGCGGGACATCAGGAGGAGGGGCTGTACTGTATATATATGTGGAGCGTGTGTGGTGAAAGGAGACGCTGGGATGTGACTGTTACATACAGCACTGATGTTACCTGTCTGTCATGGGTTTGGAGGGAAAGTTCCATCCTATGGGGAGTGGAAGGCGGGACATCAGGAGGAGGGGCTGTACTGTATATATATGTGGAGCGTGTGTGGTGAAAGGAGACGCTGGGATGTGACGAAGCAGCAGCTGGGAAGAAGAAGCTGGTGTGGGAGTCTGTGTGTCAGACAGGGTACTACTGTGTGTCAGAGTACCAACCTGATA